CTCTTTCTCCAGGTAATAACTAACAACCTCCACTCTCTCTCTAAAACCCCGCTCTTATAGGGTTTCGATTTCCTTCAATTCCACTCTCTTATATACTTTCTGTCTCGTATACCTATTCGTGTCCGTATCCGTGCATGTATACGTATAGAAACGTGTTGTGTGGTATTTGAATTTATTATACGTGTAATCTAGGGTTTGATTAGGAGATAAGTTTTTACGTTTGTGATTAGTTTATAATTGCTTTGAATTTTGAAATAACGAGGTGTGTTTTCTTTTGTGATCAATGTTTAGATTTTTTAGCAAGATGGCCGATAATCCGACCAGTCCGGCGGCGGGGAGCCACGAGAGTGGTGGTGAGCAGAGCCCGCGGTCAGGGGTGAGAGAGCAGGATAGATACCTGCCTATTGCTAATATCAGTAGGATCATGAAGAAGGCGTTGCCGGCTAATGGAAAAATTGCAAAGGATGCTAAGGATACTGTTCAGGAATGTGTTTCCGAGTTCATTAGCTTTGTCACCAGCGAGTAAGTGAAAGAGTTGATTGGTTTTGGTTTTGATTATTGACGATTGCCCTTTGTGTATCGTAATCATGGAGATGGTGTGATTCTGTGTAGAACTGTTATTGGTGGTTTTGGAGAATGGGGTATTGATTGCTTTATGGAATGCAATGGTAGTTTGGAGATGTTGCTTTTGTTTATCTGATTGGATGGCCTGGGATTAATGGTTTTCTCTTGTTTTCTGATTAATGTAGTTGTGAATTGAGGTTTTAATTTGTGCAATGAAATGGTGCCTTTGGAAATTAGGGTTCTTGCACTGAAGGTCTGGTTTTGTGAAATGTGATTGGATGTTGTTTTCTTTAGGGCGAGTGATAAGTGTCAGAAGGAGAAGAGGAAGACGATCAATGGGGATGATTTGTTGTGGGCAATGGCAACGTTAGGATTTGAGGATTATATTGAGCCACTTAAGGTGTACCTGGCTAGGTACCGGGAGGTAATTAGTTTGTTTTCTTGTCTATGATTTATTTTGTTTACATATAGGTTGGTTTGTAATCTAATCATCTGACTCTTCTCTTTCCTTCTCTTTCACCGATTGGTTTTATTGGATCACTGCCATGTCACAGTTGGAGGTAATAAACATTTTTCTAATTGAAGCATTGTTTCCTTCTTTTTCTTTCTTTCTTTTTTTTTTTTTTACAGTTTAACCACCTTTTATATGAATATCTTTTCAAGAAAAAAATTCTGTAAAGTTGTGAGTTATACTTTTAGCAACTTTGGCAGGGTGATGCAAAGGGGTCTGCTAGAGGTGGAGATGGATCTTCTAAACGGGATGCAGTTGGAGGTCTGCCTGGTCAAAATGCACAGGTAAGTTTGTAACCATGCTTTAGAGGTTGATTATTCTGACCTTACTAAGTTTCATTAGCTCACCATACTGTCTTCTTGTTGTGTTTGGATGAACTACCACGTCAGTTTGCTTTTCAAGGATCGATGAACTATACGAGTCCACAAGTAATCCTCTCTCACTCCCCCCCCCCCCCCCCCCTCCTCTATTCCACACACACGCACAAACAAGCACAGATTCTTAAACTAATGGAATATAGAGTCAAATGTTAAATATTTAAATCAATAGTATCAGAGAATTGTAAATCTTGATTTATTGAATTGGTCGTCTACTTATTAATTGCTCATGCAATTTCCTCTTGGATTCAAAAACTGCGGTCATTGGGTCAAATATAAATGACATGCATATTATGCAAGAATAATTAGTCCTTTTCTTTCTTCCCAAAAAAAAAAAAATTACATGTAGCACTGTTTGCACTTGTCCCCAAACGATCCTCATATTTTTAATCCTGGATTGATAGGAAAAACAGATTTGACTAAATGCTTGGCAAAAAATTAATTATGTTGAATGGTCAAAAAGTCACAAATTGATATAGAAAGTGTAAAATTAACCAATACTTAAAAAGAGGAAAAGGGAAGGAAGAGGGTGACCAATGTCTGATGGCTAAAAGCTCACTGAGTGAAAGGGGAAATTCTGTAGGAAATTACACGTATATTAACTCTCAATCATTTTGATAAGAGGAGTAGGTAAGGTTCAGAAGGGGAAAAAAAAAATCTTTTAATATATTGGTCCAAACCAATCATTGCTGGGGGTTTACTTAATCACCACAACACAGTGACTTGTATATATTTGCAAGCAAGTAAATTTTCAACCATTTGATTGTTAACAAAATGAAAGAATGCATGCCTAAATTGCTACTAGGCTTAGGCTGTACGTGATTGTTGGGAATCCTGGTTTTTTAGGTCTCATAAGATATATCTATCAGGCTATCACCACATTTGCAGTGCTATGTGGTGTCTCTGCATCTGAAGCAATTTATGGATTTTATCCATGTTTTTTGGTGCGTCACCTATTGTTTTCTAAACTTAATGCTAGAAGGTTTCTATATGTAAAGTGGGGGCTGCTTGCCCAAGTGTTGTCAAAGGTGAAAGGCGCTAAAAAGCGTCAAGCCAGGAAAATGCCCAAGGCGCTTTTGATACAAAAATTACAAGTACATTATTATATATGATATAACTTAGTAGAAATTTCTTCAGTATGACAGAAGAGAGAAGGACTAACATGGAGAGAGAGAAAAAAAGTGAAGAACAGAGAAATTTGGAAACAAAAAGATGAGATGACAGAAGAATAAAAGATAAAGGAATGCCTCTGATGTTCTTCAGTCTTCACTCTTGAATCTTCTTTCACTTCTTCTTTGGTGGTGTTTCACTTTTGTTTCTGTTCTTCTTGTTTCAACTTTCAAGTCTGTTTCTCATCGTCTATAACTTTTATTTATATTTTTGCACCTCAATCTATATTTTTGACAAAACTACTGTTAAATTTTTTTTAAGACCAGAAAAAGAGACAAACAAGACAAAACATAAGCCTTTTTTTTAATTATTTTTTATAAAAAAAAGCAGGAATCAAACAGATGCCTCTTCAAACCAATCCTTAGTTTCACATAGTTTTCATCAGGCAATGCCTTTATCGTGTGCCTGTCATGGACAGGCGCTTGCCTCTTCTAATATCATTGCCCCAGGCTAAGGAAGGCGCCTCAGCCTTGCCTCCGGGGATTAAGCAAGTGCCCAGGTGCCTTGTGACAACACTGGCTTGCCCTAAATCCATTTACTCAATGTAAGTAGCTGTAAGAATTGGTTTGGCGCCTCTAATTATATGCCAGTGCTTTCCCATTATCCTTGTTAAATCACCCTCGAACACCCATTCTTGGAGAAGGGGCTTGAGATTGTCATTGCTGATAATGACAGTTTCAAATTACTTGTCTTCAATCATTCCATGAAAATGCTTCTAATTTCTAGAGTCTCGGAAGCAAAATAATAACCTTCAGCTATCCCTAAGCATGATATAGGACGTGGGGAAGTCTGCTTGATTCAAGTTGAATAATGGTAAACCTTGCAGCCAGTCAACGATAATGTACTGCTGTCTGGTAAACATTTAACATGCAGATGATGAGCCCCTAGTGGCCTAAACTAAAACCTACCCAATTTTCCAATTCTTCTTGGACATCAAATGATTAACATTCTTATATTAGCATTGTTTATCAGTGCTCCAGCTTGCTGGAATAACTTGTGGTTGACTATGAGTGTTTCTTACACCTGGTTTAATCACGTGAAAGATCATATTTGGCTTGATGATGGAATCGTATCTTTGTCAGTGTCTGTCTTAAATGGTGGTCTTGAGAAATCTCTAAAACAGAGCTACACTTTGCATCCTAATGATTTTGCATTAAAGGTCATGTATTTCTCATTGAAACGGATTGATCCTTTCTAATCTATCCAGGACCGTTTCAAGAGTGATGGTGAACAATGCAAAGCAGTTGATATTTTCATTTTAAGATCTTTTGATACGGAGCATGAACAAAACATGAAAAATGTGCATCAATGTATTGGAATGAAAATGAGGCATGTGAAGAACCAGTAGTTAAATTCTCTTTTTGCTCGGTTTAAATTGAATGAGTTGAGCAAAAATTAGGCACCTCATGTTATTGATTTTTATGCATGTAGTTTTTATCTTTCATTTACAAATGACGGTTCTTTGATGGCCTTTTTGCCACCATACATTCATACTGTCTTAAATGTGTGCATTATTAGGATCAAGTTAGGATTTGATTGCACGTAGGGTGTAGCTAGTTTAGTGTTGAGTTCTTTCCTTGTTATCTTGTTCCATTCCTCATAGATAGATGTGTCAATAAGCAATGTGGAAAATGAAATCAGATGCTCCCCCCCACCACCCCCCCCAAAAAAAAAAAAAAAAAAAAAAATTCCCCCGCCATTCTTTTAAGGTGAAAGGGGATTAGGGGGCTTGGTGAAATTGCAATTGTGGCCTGTATTCTTATGAGCTTCTTGCCATCTTGCGCAGGTGCAGGGACAGCATATGATCCTTCCTTCCATGCCAGGCAACGAGTAGGGTTTGGCTTTGCTTTGGTCAATTCAGTGAATTGTAAGTTGTAACGTTGGTAAAACTTTTTAGTTCCAACACTAGTAGAATCTAATCTCTCGCATTAGTTGATCTGATTGGTACCAAAGTGCCCTATATATTTTGGTGGCTTTGGTTTCTGGTTGTTTGTTGGGGGTGGTTTGAATTTTGGTTGGTGCCTTCATCATCAGTGCAGTTTTAATAGTTAGATTAATTTCTGTAAATTTGTTTTCTCAAATATATATTTTTCCGAGCATTGCAAGTATGATTTCTTGGAGCATTTGACGCCATACCTCATTAGCCGATGATGTCAGCTTTTGATTTTTCAGAGTGGTACCATGTTATATGCTTGTCAATTGTCAAATTTACGGACCTATCCTGAACCGCAAGAACGAGTCAGCATCACTGCCAAACCTTAAAGTGACTTAAAACTGGAAACAGGGATCTTTGATCTGTCACTTCTCATCATTGATGTTTTGCCTGTGAACTCCTGTGGTTCCTGGATTTTGAGTGAACTTTTATTATCGACAATTCTTCTTATGATTTTAAATGAATTCATTATTGATTTATTGAAATAACGTTACCTTGGGGCATTTGTTTGTTTGATAATATGGTGTAAAATGCTTTTTAATTAAAAAAATATTGAAATGTTTTTTTTTCAAATATTTTTTTTGACATCAATATTATCGAATAGCACAGTTTAAAAAACATTCTATAAATTACATCCAACTACAAAAAAAATCTTGAACAATAGGGTGTTTTTAGCATCTTGTAATCCAGAACTAAGATGACACCTTCATGGCGAAGAAACCAAAAAAACAGGTAATAGGGGTAGAGAAGATAAAACGCAATAGGAGATGGAGATAAAATGAAATGAAAATTAAATTATGTTAGATAAAGATATATAAGACATGTAATCATTTATGTGTCATGTTTGGATGATGTTGGATATATACATAATTAAATATAAGAAAAATATAATTCTATTTTACCTTATATATATATATATATATTAAAAAATATAGATATTATTATTTTATTTTACTTTATATTTAGAAATTAATAATAGGTAATAACTTTAGTTAAAAATTTTGGATTAATTTCATGAGTCGGCTTAGGAAGGCTAACCTGAGACTTGGCAGAACCATGGTTTGAAACAGCTAGAGTTTATGAAAAAATAAAACAAGAGCTGACATAACCTAATGTAATATTTTAAAAAATATATATATTCATTTTGGTCTTCTTACATTTTAGACTATAGCTTTATGGTTGCTTAATATTTTAAAATTTCAATTACTATTTATAAATTATTCCTTTTATTTTTCAATCCCTAATATAAAATAAAAAAGAAAAAACCGCTAAATAAAAAATTTCAATTGGTTGACGGCAATTTAGCCCACAAAAAATATCAATCATCACCCCAATAAATTTTATTTAACGAAAAAAATCTCACATATATGTTATTTGAATTTTTTATTATCTAAAATAATAGATTTGAGCTCAATAAAGTTTTTGATTTGGGGTTGATTTTAAATTTATGAACCGTTTTTTAGAGTAATTTGAAACTATATACAAGCAAAGTGTGTATAATATTTTGAAAAGAATCATGACAGTAAAACATTCATAACATTGCTCTATTTTTCTACTATGTGAAGAGTTAAGTTGATATAGCACGTAGATGCGCCATTGCAATAAAAACTTTATAGTTTATATTTGTTTTTTGTTAATTTGAATATATATATATATATATATAAATGTTAACAACACTTGCACACATTCATCCTTTTGCATTAGAAATTTTTTTTATTCAACAAGCGATAAAGTGAGTAGAATAGATAAGGTGAGTAGAATAAACATATTAAGTTTTAATTTTTTTATATTGATTGGAACACATAATTCTTATTTTGTTTAATTAAACACGTATAAGTTTTTTAATTTATAATTAGGATTTGTTTTTTGTCATTAGTTGGAAAATACTATATATTTAATTTTTTGCTAAAAAAATTATTCCACGTGTAACAAAATAACATTTCAAAAAATAACATTTCAAATAGCTAGCACGCATGTATATAATATAATTTGTTGATAATTTTATTATTTTACTTAGCAGGTAATTTTATAAAATTAAGTTTATTATTGGATGCTAAAGAATTTAGGTGTTAATAGTAAAATAATAAACTTATTTAAATTTCTTAGGAATTTTCCACATAAACCAATCAGAACAAATACATTACTAACAACTATATTTCAAGAGAACGTCTAAAAGTTCAAATACCGAACGACTGTAATGCTGAACCACGGGGCTTTGATCTTGCAACCTTTATCTATAAACTCGACTGAAAGGTGGGTGCATTTTTTATTCGTGGGTTTTGATTTTGCAACCTTTGTCTCGAACTTCGACCGCTGACACTTTTTTTTAAGTGGGGGTCACGCACAGCTTTAGTGGAGCATGGTGCAATGGCATGCTGCTTCTTTCCAGTTCTCTCCTGCATCTGTGTCTGCCATCGCTGAGAGACAGTGTTGGAGCTAGCCTTGCTTCAGATTTTAAGCCACCTGCTGAAAATTCTCGTTTTTTTTTTCTTTTTTTGCCATAGTCAATCATATAAGTAGTAGAATTGGCGTTTTATTGTGATAAAGTCCAATCCCATTTCAAAGCTAATTTATCACGGCGGTGCAGGTGCTTAAGAAACTCAAATTTCTGTGCTTTCATGGTCCCTTTTTATTGTGCATAATTAGGTGTTGTTGCAAGCTACTGTCCATATGCCACCTACCAAATACACAACACTTGAAACCTCCCAGCTGCAAGTGCCAGGCGCTTTTGTATCAATGAACTCGCTGCCACCTAGAAGCACGCATTGTAGCACGTGACACATACAGTGACATGTTACACGCACGTGAATAGTGATAATACAATCTTACAATGAGAGAGTCACAATCAATATCATACTACGCTTTGTAGCTGCCTCTATCTCAAAAAAAAAAAAAAAAAAAACACAGCCTCCTTGCAATGTTTCGTGATATCCAATGTGGTGAACTTTCGTTCCTAGCTTGATGGATTTTTGGTTCAGTAGGATATATATATATATAAGTCTGTCTGTGTGTGGACAGATTTGAGAGGGAAAAAAAAAATAATGAACAAAGAATACTTTATTAAATACGAATAATTGTTACAAAAAACAGGAATTATCGATAATAAGTAGCTTCAAACCATTTTTAAAGGAATCACTGTAATATTGGCACCACACCAAACAAGAATTATAATTTCAGAAACACATAGTACCTACAACAATCCTATAATTCTTCCATATATATAATTTTCTAAATAGTAGTTTTCTTGAAAGATAAACAAAAAAAAATTAAATAAGAACAATCATAATTAATTAATTTCTATTACCATGTATAACTACAAGAAAAACTTCATTCTTTGCTGTCAACTTGTATCTCTGGAAAGGTTGCTTGTATTGAGAGATTTCATCTATCAGAACTTAACTTAGAACCAATGCTAATTGTCTGCTGGATAGTGTTTCTGTTGCCCGGTAACATTGAAATTGCATCACAATGTCTCCATCTCTCACCTCTTCCCACGACGTGACCATCATTTCTTGCCTGCACGAGGCATGCAGCCAGCTCACCCCCCACCACCTCCCACTTGCCCTCTGTGTGTACACAATTGATCAAACCCCCTCTCCTAAGACCAACCCACGCCGTGCCCTAATTCGTTTATATTCTTGAAAACCTTTCGGACTACAAGAATATGACTCGAACACAGAATCCTTCTTCTGCTACGCGTCCTTTCAAAATCTTTCCTTTTCCATGAGTCCTTTGGACTTCACTAAATCCATTTGACTCTCGGAGTATTGCCACACAACTCAAACAAGTCATGTGTTTCACGAAATATTCTTTCTGAATTAACCTTTTGAACTTCATCGTTTATGCACTTGGGAAACCCAGCTAACATATTTTCCTCGAAAACCACAAATTATTGTGTCATTTTTTTATTTTTATTTTTTAATATTAGTTGATGGATTGATTTATAAAGATAAAAGATTATACTTGAACCCAGACCACGCCTTTTTATTTTCCTTGCTGTTACATCTTGTGTTAGGTTAATCCTGATACCCCATGATTCATGTACGCATGAGATATTATTCCCATTTGTCTAACGTACAATCATGATAGTAGAAGAGGCAAGTGTCTCCATGTCTGCTCTTTGCCAACTCACGCACAGAAAATTGTCCAGCTCACATCGCCAGCACCCCTTGTTGGGTCGTCCTCAAATGTTTGTTCATAATATCTCGTCTCTGCTGACACAATAGTCCTTGCCTTCCATAATTTACTCCCAAAACCAAAATAAAGTGATGATCCTCATGAAATTCAGTACTGTCTAGTCTGTTTTTTCCATGGTCAAACCAAGGTTATAGCCCCTTTGCTATACAGCTGGCCACGTTGTAGTATTCAGGGAAGTGAGTGAGAGCTAGTGAGACAGTTAACATCTGCCAATCCTCACGTGGAATAGTGCTGGTTGAACCCAAAGTGCATTTGCAAGCACAGACCCTTTTATTCTCTTGTTTCCATCGCTTGACTGCTAACAGACACGCGCTTGCAGTAAAAGCAGCTGGGAAATTGGAAGCCAGATATTGATAGTAATTAATGCCTTCAATTGAAGCACTATATCGAAGGGTGGTTTAAAATTGATGAGTTCAAGAGGTGAACTCGACATTCATCAACTATAACGAAAAATACTTACTCGATTCGATTCTGGTTCTTATTATTTTCATCAAGCATTTTGAATTATACTTCATGTTGTTATTAATTAGCACATAAAACGGAACAAAATCAGATGATAAAATTAACATAATTATCAACTAAATTAACGATGAAAAATAAATTGAGATTTTTTAATTTAATTAATTGTTAGTGAATTCGAGATAAAAGCCACGTTGTTATAGTTAAATGTTACAGTGATAATTAATTTATTAATATCATTATAATATAATTTATAAACGATGAACTCTTACACAGCACCTTTACTTTAACCAAGTAATTAATTATGAAAATAAAATATTACTGCTGGTATACTTTAGAATATGCATGCTGGTATATTCTAGAGTGAATCAACGAAACAATCAAAAGATTCGATTTTTCGTTTTCATTCATTTAAGATTATTTCAAGATACCATTAATTATTATCATTGTTGTTCATGGTGGTATGCAATTAGATTGCTAGTTGTAGACCTTTATTTTCTAACCTTTTTAGAGGCCATTGATGACAAAAAATCTCAATTCATAGTTTTTTTTCAATCAACACTATACTAATATATGTTTAATATTCTTACAAACTGTTTTATTAAATCATTTAGACACTTTTTAAAACAAACAACTTGTTTCATAAATTGTTGCCAGTAAATACAAGCTGTCATCATTATTACCAATCAATTAAATAATAAAACTTAATTTATATATATAGTGATATTTATTTATGAGTGACTAAAAAAATGTCAATGATAGTAATTTAAAAATAACAACATTTTGAGTAGTAATTAAAATATAAATCATTTCACAGTTATATCAATTATTTGCATAACCAAGAAATAACATAGAGTATATGTGATATAATAAACATTTTTATTTTAAACAATTAATAATATATAAAGAAAAGTAAAAAAAAAACGAATTTTTCCCGAGGGTCATTTGTGGTGGCCACTCGACAATCAATAAAGACCCCAACAAATATGACAGCAAATAAAATGGCTTTTTTGGTTTCATTTATCCTTACTCTTTTGTTTCACCTCGTCAGAACCTCGGAATGCATACCATCGCAAAACCGAGGGCTTTCACTGTGTGTGATCTTTTGAAAACCAAAGGAAACAAACCTCGCTGTTGTGGGCCAAATGACATCATACTTTAGTGCTGTTTGGCAGTGGCATGTTATTATGTAACTAGTAAAATTACTTCTTGTAGTAAAAGAATTTAAACTTCAAAAAAATCGAGATTTAAAGGAGAGCCGCTGCTCACCGAACATTATATTGATTTTGGCACAAAAAATCAGCGAACATTTTTGATTTGTTATTAAAATGGATGTATAAACAGATTGATTACAAAGTTGACAGAGAAAATTGCATACTTGTCACTCACGTATTAATATCTAAAGAAATTCAAGTTGTTCTTGTATATTTTCATAGAAGCCCTTACGTTAAATTGCCAGGCATACATACCTCGAAATCCCTTATGGAGACAAATAAACCGAACATGCTAGACATTTGATGTTCGGTACGAGATCGTCAAAATCCCCTCAATCAGCGCCTCGATTTTTCAGCGAAACCACCCGTTGATCACGCACGCGGTGAAGAAAAACAAAGTGCTATACCATGTAACCAGCTGATTAAAAGTTTCTAACTAGGTAGGTTGCTACGTGCAGCCAATCATCTCTACGACTCCTAGATTCTCCTGCCGAATTGAGAACAAACATGCGCACACCTCAAAAACAATCTGCACAGCACAACCTGCTTCACACCAAAGACATTTGTTGTGGGACCCCATGATCATGAACCCAACAAATCGAATTTAAACCAAGCAGTGTTCGAACATGCTGCCAGTTTGAGAAAAAGGGAAAGGGTTGAGGATTAGGGTACTGCTTACCATTGTTTAGACTCTGAATCCATCTGTTCTATGTACAATCCATAAACAAAATCTGCAACGCTGTACAGATAATAAACTACACGGTTGTCACGTGGTTGCATTGCCTATAAATGTATCTGTTAGTGGTTTTATTTGAAGTATCAGTACGTACGTTCTTCACTTCTTCTCTAGGAAAAAGATACTCCGATTGATTTAAACGTCCAAGTCGGATGTAATGCGTAAGGCGTTAATTAGGTCAACAAAATTACTGACCGTCACCGACCCAAACACAAAGAACAAATATGAAAAGCTGATAAATAAATAAATAAGTGGCATGGATATAGTTAGGAGGGGTGATCCGTACTTTTCATTTTAAACATTTAATAATTTTTTTTTCAACCTGCTTGGATACACCAGCCAGTTGGCTACAAGCTTGTGCATATTTTTTTTTTTTTAAATTAACGTGGGTGTCCAGGCCAGCTTACGCGCACCACGACTAATCCCACGGGCCCTGAAGTTAACGACCATGTAAACTTTCAGTGGCCATCATATGAGCAACCAAAGATTCGAACCTGAGACCACAGAGGGAGCAAACCCCTTAATCCCAAATCGTTACCAGTTGACCACCACCATATTTTATATTGATAGAGTGGTGGTGGTGGAGGCGATTCAGTCCTCCGGTCAAGGTTGATGCTGATGTCCATTGTCAGAATTCTGAGTTCTGACTTTGACCATTTCGTTGTTTCCAAAATCTTTTCATAATATTATCTATATACTGGAAGTTCATGGTGATGATAGCCCACGGACAGACACTTACTCCGCTGGTGGTTTGGTACTGTATACAGGCGGAGCTAAGATTAAGATTATTTAATAGAAGGGCAAAACTAATATATCAAGTTATAAATTTTTTTATACATGTGAACCAAATTGTTATATAAGAGAGAAATTAATGTATTAAAAAAATTGATATATAAAAGTAAATTTAACATAAAAAATGAAATTATTAGTTTTTTAAAAGGAAAACTTACACTAAATTAAAATTAAGTATGCACTCTTTAAAAATTTCACTTTGGCTGAAAGAATTGTGCCTAATTGTATAGTGAACCTTGTGATAATAAGATATATGTAAGAAAAAATTAATAATTTTGATGGCTTTGTTAAAAATAAAATATAAAAAAATTCAAGTATATTCAAAACAAACCTATAAAATATATCCAATTAATTAGAAAAACAACATTCACTGTAACAAGAAAAACAAATAATAAAACTAATAGATCTAGAATAAAAATAGTAGAATTATATATATATATATATATATATGTATATAAACCTCATTAAATTCTTAACTATCATAAAAAAATATTTTAAATCTGGTTTACTAATTACCTTGTTGTAATATAAATAATGAATTAATTGGTAGTTTTATTTTAATTTTTCTCTGTTTTATATTATTATATTTTTTTATTAGTATATTTTTTGGTCAGGATACTAGAGAAGGGAGATAGAGATACTGTAAAGAAAGGAAAGAAAATTAAAAAACATGATTTTTTTTTTGTACTTATAGGGAAAAAAAATTTTAAATTTCAAAATAACTAGTGAAATAATAATTTATTATTAGAAAGCTCATTACTTGTTACTTGTATTTCAATACTAAAAATATAATTTTAAAATATTTTGCAGGGTGTTTTGCAGGGCCCGGCTACTTCTTGCCACCCCTTAGTTCCGCCTCTGACTGTATATACTCGGTGTTCGTGCTTCCCAGCCATGCCAAGTCATTGACACGTAGCCCATGATTAATTTTTATTTTTTTCATGGTTGAAAAAACCGCACATAAATGAAGGCAGAAGCCACGTTAGCCACCCTGGAACGTGGCGTGCGTACGTGACATCCTTGCCTGAGTTTTATCTCCCCGTACGACTGCAAGCACGGGCGGAGGGGTGGGGACCTGACACTCTAAATTTTTGAAAAATACTGTCTAGTCCTTTATTCTTTTAGATATATCCCTCAATTTAATACATATTTTGCACCCACAAGCTCTCCCTTTATTATTGTATTTGTGAATTTTAGCTTCATTTTTTGTCCATATTAGCCTAATCCCGATATTATATTCCCCTTTTTGGATGCAACAAGAAGACTTCTAGTCACCATTTCTCTTGTAAAATCTCCATAATTATATAGTGATTTGGGCAGCCTTTTTTATATTGTGTATTTAAAATCAATTAATCTTTGATTTTGTACTTATAGGAATAATATATTTTCTCTTTTCATATTCCCCTTTTAACCTCGAGAGTTAATCCAAGCTTGACTGAACATGGCAAGGCGTGAAGGTTATTTGGGTAATGAGAGCGAGTTGCAGAGCAAGGTGGCTGATTATTATGGTCACTAACGACCTCCCTTCAAATTCAGACTTGGAATTCTGAGGACTGCACGACGCGCTCGTTAACTTCGTCGGACCCTCTCTCTCAGTCCATGTACGGTGTTTAGCTGTCTTTTGTCCCTTTTATATTACCCGACTTCTCCACGCGTGACAACACGCTCCGTCATATTTGGAATTTGGGTTTTTCTTCTAGTTTCTTTTCTCTTTGCACTTTCCCTGCCCTCCATGTGATTCAGCTATCTGTAATATAGATCATACAATTATTTCCGATGAAAAAACAGCTGGTAATTAATTACTTAAATTTTTTTAATTTTAATTGTTAATGAAAAACTCAATTTAAAAACTTAAAATGTGTAAGTGATGTCTATATATATATATATATCATTGTAATTTAAAAATTCAAGTGTTTAGGTAATCTCCAAAAAAGATTAAAAAAAAAAGTTAGGAAATCATTGATAAGAAAAGAAAATAAACTTTTTATAAAAGGGTTGGATGGAATAAAATATCTTAAATAAAGTATGAAATAAAATTTTATTTTTTCTGTGCACGACACTCAAATGTTATTTTTAATGCAAATTAAAGTTACCTTGTTTAATATAATTAGCGTTGTATTTGGCTTTAAAATGATATCGTGGAAAAAAAATTAACTATAAAAAACAGAGTAAAAAGATTAACGTATCAAATCTTTAAGTTGCAAATAAATATATTTTTGATATTGATTAAAAAAAACTCTGCCTTTATTTTTTCCCTTAATATACTATAAGTTGATAAAAAAAAAAAAAAAGGGAACAAAACATCAATGAGCGTTATGGACATTTACTAGGTTATCCTTTAGCTGGTAGATAACAGTAAACGGAAAGATGGATTAACGCAATGTTGACGCGCGCAAGGGCATGCAGGAGGAAAGATTCTCAGATCACGTTCTACCAACCATAATACATATGAGGCGTATCATACATTCTTAATTAATCGATGCGCGTAAGAGTGAGCGCGAGTAACTTAATTTACATCTCTCTACCGGTTCTGTAAAGTTATGTTTGGAAATTGTTTTATAGTATGTTTTTTATTTTAAAATATATTTAAATAATATTTTTATTTTATTTTTTAAAAATATTTCTGATATAAAAAATAAAAAATATTAATTTGAAATAAAAAATAAAAAAATTGAATTTTTAAATACTTTTAAAATATAAAAACAATCAAGCTCAAAATTAAAATTCTGTATATATCATTACAGTCCTAGATATCATCTTGTTTTTTAAAATGCAACGCCATTGTTTAGAATAATTTTTTTAAAAAAATCATTAAAATTGAATGGTTTAGATTTTACTACGGTTTGGTTATATTATTTTTTAAATAAATGCGACAGGTTTAATAAATATGATATCAACAAAAACAGAACATATTAAAAGCTAAGAATCCAGTCATTGGCCCAGAGATAAGATACAGAGGTTGTCTAATTAAAGAGAAGTGTGTCATTGATCGCTAAGTGATATTATGTATATATGTCAGTACTGTGATCACGTTGTTGATAGCCTCAGCGCCAGTTAGTCCATCTGTCTGCCTCTCTGTCTCCATTGTTTTTCTTGTATTCTTTTATTCCTTCACCACCCTGTACTCTTTCTCCTCCTCACTCTCCTCCTTATATTTCCCTCCCTCTCTTCTTCTCCCTTCTAAATATCCATTCTTGATCACAGACCACTCTATCTCTTGCCCGGAGCACAAAAAATTACACGTTTCGTCGTGAAACATAGATAAAAGTTTTGGTTTGGAGTATAGTGCGTCAAATTTATTTTTTTGCGCAGGGATCTAGTAAAAGAATGACAATGAGCAACAGTGTAGGGCAGTTTGGTGATACCACACTGACCAAAGTGTTTGTTGGAGGGTTAGCGTGGGAAACACCAAAAGAGGCCCTGAGAGAGCATTTCGAAAAGTATGGTGAGATCTTGGAGGCTGTGATTATTTCTGATAAAATCACTGGTAGATCCAAGGGCTACGGATTTGTAAGTTTTGGTTAATCTTCACTGTGATTTCACTACTGCATTTTCATTTTAGGGAAATAAAGATCATTACTGTCAATTACTACTGTTTTTCTAATGCTAGCTCTGGTGATTGTATTAATCAATTAGGTTACGTTCAAGGAGGCTGGAGCGGCAAATAAGGCTTGCGAGGATGCTGCGCCCATCATCAATGGCCGCCGTGCCAACTGCAACCTGGCTTCCCTTGGTGCACGCCGCCCCAGGTCTTCAACACCGGCCCCTCCTCAACAAGGTATGGATATTTAAACGTATGTCTGTAAACATGTACCTTGAAAAGGAATATTTCCTTTTCAGGTACATGGAAATTAAGAAGAAAGAGAACAAAGTCGGATCCTTGTACACACGGAAAGTCACATAAGCTTGATAAATTTGGCAAACTAAAAATACGACGAACTTCTGATGTATCGTATTATCACTTACTATATATAAGTAATTTACAAAACCACTGCATTAATTTCAAATATTTCATATCAACAACAAATTTTGGTATAATTTTCCAATTAATTAATTTGTATAAACTTACTCTTCATCCAAAGGCAAAAAGCACCATGGTACACGCATAAAAACGAGAAATAAATCTCCAACACACAATGGGATGTTAGTAAACATGAGCATCATGTATAGCTTGCTAATATATGTAATTAAATTTAATCATGAAGGACCTAACATCATCGCTGGACCGAGGTCCACGCCAGCAGCGCCAGCAAATCAAATCCAGTGGTATTATCCGGCAGGGTCAGCTGCAGCGTCACCATTTCACCATCAGCATCATCAAGCCGTTCCTTTTTATGGGTAATCCAGTTTGTATGGCTTCATGGCTCTTAATTTTGTGGCATGAAATGAGAAGATGGACTTTGCCTTATGCTATAGTTACCTCTTAATTTCAGATACTCTCCTGCTTACATTGCCACAGATATCAGTTACAATCATGTAAGTGGTTCTACACTCTTATGATGATTTATGAATAATCATGCAAGTTGATAAAATCCCAGTAATTAAATTAGCTTCGTAGGTATTTAGCCTCTAATAAAATTACAGTATCGTACTTAAATATTGATCATGATCTAAAAATTCAGTTAATTGATGAGATATCTGTTTAAATTTTGAGTTGATTTCTCAAATTTAAAATAATTTCTCTCTAAACCAACAGAGAAACTTTCTGAGAATCAATCATCAAAATAAAATCCCCCCTTCTCATTAGTCTTACAATTCTTATGAGCTGAAGTAGTATTGCTGTGATGGATGGTCCACAGAAGCTTAGCTACACTGGCGGGCCCTACATGAATGGGCATTTCTCCCAGGTGTATCCAGGGCAAGCTATGGTGGGTGCTAATACATTGATGCCAATGTACCCTCTTTATCACGTCCATCAATCACAAGCGCTGGGCCTACCTGCTGCCCACATCTTCCCACCAAACGCGGCTGGTCCGATGACAACGGTCCCAACTATCATGTCCAAAACCCCATCGATTGCTCCTCCTAACGCAGGTACATACACTTTCATACACGTTAGCTGTACACGATGATTGTACAGCCCCTCGTGTTTGCTTCACATGGTAACGTGATCAACCTTAGTCAATGTAAACAAAAGAATCATTGCATCCCGTGCCTACGGATTGAGTGGGGCCCCCTTACAACTGGCATGCTAGAAACTCACGTGACAAGAAGACCAAAATGCCCTCTTTGACAACCGCATGCTAGTTGGTGTTTACAGTAACAAATTGATCGTAGTCGTTAAAGAATTTATAAGTTTTGTTTGATTCGATGTCACTTGCCACCTCATGCTTCTTGAAGAATTTAATTTGACTGACCGGCTTGTCGTTTCTGATTAGCGGTTACGGCAAGCCAAAAAAATAAAATATTTGCCGTACTTTGGTTGCAGTGGTTCATGTTTGGAATAGTTAAAAAGAAATTCAGTTTTGGCACGTCGGAGATTTATTAGAAAAATGTATAAGAATTTAAAAGGAGAGAGAGATGATAAGGTTAGTGTATACGAAGGGGATTCAGACAGACAAAAATCGACGCCATCTGAGAGTAGCGGAGTGAGGCTAAAGCGATGTTTGGCCTTGAAGATTAACTGTATTATTGAGAATTTTTTATTTTTTAATTTAAAATTATTATTTTAGAAAATAACATTTATCACCTTCACAAACATGCACGGATTCTACATATAATAGCAGCGTTGGTGGCGTCATGCTCAACGTCTCCTTGAATATACCTTGAATTATTATTATTTTCGTAGTTTTTTATTATTATATATAGCAGCGTTGGTGGCGTCATGCTCAACGTCATGCCCAATGGAGACCATATGATAAAAATATAAACTGATGTTACAAAGACAGTTTGCTTGGCTGTCGAATAGGTACGGTTGGCACAGGTGAAGGCCTTAAAAGGGTTGGATAAGAGGGAGGCACTTAGTTGGCAATAACGAGAGGAGAAGAGAGTAGCTGCTGCAGAACAACGTTATTATCAGATCTGTTGCGGCTCTTCTTTCCAATTATTTTTTATTTTTTTTATGATTCTTAGGTGTTTGATAAGATTCTTTCATTCTCTAACAACTCAGCTTGAGCTGTGAACTATTAGCATTAACAAAAGTCATGTGTGTTTGCCCATGTCTCATGGCTTGCTTTTGATGGCTTCAATGAACTTTTCCACTTTAAAAGCATGGCGCACGTTCATATAACTTGTTGCCCCTCACCATCCCTCGGGATTCTTAGCATGATGTTTGTATATTATAGTCTTCTATAACAATGCTCTCGGGCTGTCTATTATACCGAGAAATTCAGCCTACGACCAAAATATAAACCGTGAATTTACTTTACAAAGCAGCCATCTTTTCCTTCAATGAATGCTAAGTAATTACAGACATAATTTTATAAAAGCACATCACTGACTCATCATTTTTTTTTAGATTAACGTGGGTGTCTAGGTTAGCTTGCGCGCAGCACGACTAATTCCATGGATCCTGAAGTTAACGACCATGTAAGCCTCCAGTGGCCATTATATGAGCAACCAAGAACTCAAACCCGAGACCACAGAAGGAGCTAACCCTTTATCCCAATTTCTTACTACTTGGCCACCATCTAGATGGTTTCACTAACTCATCATTGCACTGAAGAGAAGTAGTGGGATAAAAGTTCAATGCTACTGGAAGGATTTTTGTTTTGTTTTGGATAATAGGTATTATAGCTGATATTCCTGCAATCAGTTTAATAAGTAAGTTATTTTATGGCTTCAATTCTGGATTGGATTCATCCATTTAGCAATAAGATTGGCTTCAATTCTGGATTGGGTTCATCCATTTAGCAATAAGATGGATTGAGTTATAGACATTAAAGTGTAAGAACTCAATAGAATCCCTCATCGAATTAGACATAAAAAAGAGAGTGCTGATAAGTTATTAATTATCGTTATATTTTGTTCATATAAATGACAAAATGAATTCTATTTTATGGATTATATTCTTTTGATATTTTAAATATCTCAAAAAATTTCATTACACTCTTTTTGGGATATGCTTGCAAAAACAATAATATCTTATCTATAAATATTGTTAGAAAAAAAAAGGAATTATTCAATATTTTTCATTTTTCTTGATAACACACACGGGTGTGTATTATATTTTTCTATACCTATTAAACCTTCCTCTCTTTATTATTTTATTTATTTTATTGTCTCAATTTTATTTTAGAAGTTCTATTTGCTCAAAAAAAATCTCCTTTCTTTTTTGTTATTTTTTATTTAAAAAACAGAATTATATGTACAAATTATACATATAAAAACAAAAAACAAATTATAATAAAATTGGAAAAAATAAGAAAATAAAAATAGGAATCCTTAACTAATAATATTAAGAATTATTAACATTTAATTTTAAATGGTGCAACTCATTTTATCAGGCTCTAGATTTGCTTCTTAGAGGTTAGTAATTCGAGTTTTATAAATCTCTGAATCACTATAAATTTATATGATCGTTAATTTTAAGACCCATAAGAATAACTGAAGTATATACAAAGTGATTTAGATACTTATATTAATAATAAAAAAATTATTATCATTTGGACACAAGGGAATGAGAAACTTTTTTGTTTGTAATGAAGACTAAAATTACAAGTAGAAGAATATTCTTTATAATATTTTGTATTTTTTATTTAAAGTTTTCTCTGTTTAATTATCTTATGTTTAATTTAAAAATTTAATTGAATTTGATACTATTAAAATAGAAAAAAAAGGCTATGAATAAATTATATCATGGCTAAATATGTAAATAATTACATAACGGCACCACTCTAATTTAAATTAGAAAAGAGAGGATAAAGTTAAATAGTCTTCTACAACAATGCTTGGGCTGTATGTTATACCAAGAAATTCAGCCTATAACCAAAATATAATGCGTGAATTTATTTTACAAAGTAGCCATCTTCCTTTAATGAAGTGTCAAATAATCATATCTATATGTAACAAAGTTATGAAATAAGGTTTCAGACATAATTCTATACAAGCACATCACTGACTCATCATTGCAGGGATTTGATCAGACTCTCATCTCCGATCCGACCTTGCAATATTAGACCGGAAGAAAATTTCAGGGAAAAAACCAACCAGGCCAACCCAACAGGGATTCATAGTTCTCATACAAAGCCAGCACTGGCACGCAGGGCACAGCAAGCGCTGCTATAAGTGCTCTCACAGAATGCCATGTCATGTTGACAGACAAATTTTTTATTAAAGCATCGCTTTAAAAAATAAGAAGCAGAATAAAATAAAAATCTCGTGGAAAAGGGCTGGTGTCGGGTCTTATACCAGTTATAGGAACAAATCACTGATGTTTATCTGTAATTTTCTAAACTTTTTCTCGTGATTAACTGTGAATTTGTTTGACACTGCATTTGTTTTTGAAAAAAAAAATTAAATATTTTTATTTTAAATTAAATATTTTTTATTTTTTAAAATTATTTTGATATACTAATCTTATAAATAACTTTTTAAAAAATAAAAAATATTATTAATATACTTTAAAAAGTAATTATAATTATACTTTTAAACATGCTATATAAACATGTTATATAGAATTTTTCATCGAGAGTTAGTTTTATCAAACCATTCAAGATAATTTTGTTTTATATAAATTAAAGTTCCATGCGATGACCTAAAGGTGCTTGGAACAATGTTTCAATCAGAATTTTTTAAAAATTTAAAATTTAATTATTAATTTAATATACTAATATAAAAAATAAAATTTAAAAAATTTAAAAATATTATTTTAATATATTTTTAAATAAAAAATATTTTTAAAAATAATTTTTACAACTCTTTCAAACATGCTAATTTAGCTTTTTAAAATAGCATTTTGGATCGGAGATGCGCTAAGAACTGGAGGTGCCTTCGAGCCCATCCCTGCGGTTGTTTCCTGGGTGGATCATAGAAAATGCCGATATAATGTGGATACGATGGACTCTTTGGAATCTGGTATTTGGGCCACCAATCAGAGAGGTGATCTTGGCTCTGAATACAACACAATACAAGAACAACAGTAAAGTTTATGCTGTGCCCAGATCATAACTCGGGCCCAACAAAAATAAATCTGGGCACCATATGTTAGATAATGGGCCGAGCTTAACTGGGCTAATGGAATCTTTTCTGGGTCCGAGGCACTATATTAAATTCGGTTTTCCTTGCTTTCCCTTCTTTTAAATTAATCCATTATCATGGTGCATTTAACCGGGACACAACTGCTGAACTCTCTCTCTGGAAACACAACTGGGTATTTGTCCTGTAAAATTATCGTTGTGCTGTCTTAATTATGGAAAACGGTCTGATTCCCAACATGGATTCATTCCCTTGTCTCAAGTTTCAACCCAGCCATGTAAGGAATCAACCATCATCTTGTTCCGAAATGAACCGTTATGACTTCCAACTTCCGAGCACGGTTCCATAAAAATCCAGCTTCGCTGAAATTATACAACAATCGTCTGAAATCGGGCAAGATTTTAACGATTCCATCGACTTGGAGTGCCAATCTCCTTTCAATTTTTGTATGCGAGCTGAATAGCTGAGGATGATTTGGAAATCAAGATTTTATCAACACCGTGGTTTGACCAAAAAATAGAAAGAATCGATCCATCATCTTCATCGGGGAAGAAGCACATTACTTCCAAATCCCAGCGAAGTTTCCATGTTTTTTTTTTGTTTTTTTATTGGTAGAATAAAATCCCAGCGAAGTTTCCATGTTTTTTTTGGTTTTTTTATTGGTAATGCTAGAATTACTTATATATATTTTAACTAATTATACGAATTATAAAATAAATAATTATATAAATATTAATAATTCTAATATTTATAAGATCTATAAAGAATAAATTTATTTAAGTATATTATTCTTTATTTTAAAAATATTTTTTAAATATAATTTTTTTATTTTAAAAATTTATTTTTATAATATTTTAATGTATTATATAAAAATAATATTTTAATATTTTTTTAATATTTAAAAAGAACTTAAAAATAATAGCTGTTATATTTTCAGACACCAAATGAACCAGACAAACACGACCTTGAAATTTTGAAACGTGTTGCTTTACTATTTTTTCGAGTTTTTTTTTTTTCACTTGTATATTCTTTCTTGTCAGTTGCCACGAATGCAACGTATAAAGTAAAAGATGCAGGGAGACTTTAAGAAATCTTCTTGGCCCCGGTTATAAGTGTACACTCCTCGTGAGAGACTACCCATACCAAGGACACCGTGTACCTGTAGTTCATGTCAGAACTCGAAAAATGAGCAGAGAGCAACTCAATTATACACGTGGTGTTTGCTTCTGTGTTGAAAACATAGTTTTGACACCGTATCTTACCGACGGGTAACATGGAACCAGCTGATCTAGTATTGAAACTAAATTAAATAAAAAAATAATAAAAATTGATAAATTGATCGATAAGATCTGATCAAAAATTAAATTATAATTTTTTAATTTTTTATTAAGAGAATAACATTTTAATTTAAAAAAATGATGTTGATGATTTGATAATTCAATTAAAATTAGAAATTCGGGCTTTGGATTCAACCATGTCTTGAAAATAGTATAAAAGATGTTTGGCGTACGAACGGGTTGATTGATTTTGATTTGCTTCTGATCTTACAATTTTTTTTTTTTAATACCAAAACAGGATCTTCACCTTCCCGATGTGTTATGTGCGTTGCATTGGGGTGTTATGTAATTTTCAAAGATGTTTTTTTTTTCTTAAAATACAATAACTTAATTTTTTCTAGTATTTAGCTTTGTGACTAATCATTCTTAAAATATTTTTTTAAAAAATATATTATAATAATATATATGTTTTATTTTTTAAGTTTATTTTTAACATTAGTAAGTAAAAATAATCTAATAGTAAAAAATAAAACAAAAAAAAATTATTTAAAAAGAAAACATGGCCACGTCAGACAATCAAACCTTAAACATGGAAAAACAAATAAACTCTTAAGCCAAATCTTTTTTAAATATAAAAAACTTGCTTTAATTAATTTTTTTTATTTGGAAATTACGTGCTGACTCAAATTTACATATTATATTATAGTAATAATTATTTTTTAAAGTGTTTTTATTTTAAAAAATATTTTTTAAAAAATTATTTTTTATATCAACAAATCAAAATAATTTAAAAAATAAAAAAAAATTAAAACAAAAAAAAATTAATTTAAATTTTTATAAAAACACTCTTCAACCATCAAAATAAATAGAATTGATAGTTTTCTGTTTCTAATAAGAGGAATGGTGTCGTTGAGTGTTTTGATTTTTTAATTTAATATCAGTCATTTATATCTCTCCTCAAAGGAAAGAGTACATTGAGGGTGCAAATAATTCTCTCAAAAGAATAATAATAGTCTGCCCGAGATTCCCTTCGCTCCTTTTGCTGCATAAACTGGGCTGCGAAAAAAGCATGTAGATTCTTAGAGCAATTTTGAAGATTGACGATCCAGTTGGTTATAACAAGTCAATAACCTGAAGCTTTGTTCTTCTTTCCCCAGAAAGAGGAGGATTGCTAGCAAGCAACAACGTATCAGGGTGGAACAGTTATTTGTAACCAAAAAACAAAAGGTGGAATAATCCTGTAAAAGAAGTGAAATAATTTTTGTTTTTTTTAAATATATTTGTTTTAAAAAATATTAAATTAATATTTTTTTTATAATTTTAATGTCGATATAAAAAATTTCTCTACACGTGTTCGAAAATCACCAGACTGTCAAATTCCACATGTCACCAACAAAGTTTCTCATCCCTCACTGATGGAAAATGGAAGAAAAGCCTGTTGAGAGTGCTGACCAGTCAGTGAAAAAGGACAAGAACCCAATGTACTCGGGCTTTGTTTACTTCTCTTAAAAATCACTTAAAAGGAAGCCTGACTTATGATCACACCCAAACACTGCCTTCTTTTTCTTCTCTCTCTCTCTCGCTCTCCAAAAACTGGAAACCCCCGCAATCCCCTGGCTTCCACTCCTTTAAACAAGATCTAAAGAGGTAAACACATAATCTTAAAAAAAATCACTCGTTTTGTTCTTTAATATCTTTTTTCTTAGTTACACGGCTTGATTTCTATTTTTCTCTGTTTTAGGGATTATCACCCGATTTCTTTTTTTCTTTTTGATTTAAAATTTCGGTTCTTTATAGTAAAGAAAGGTTATTTTTTGGATCTTGAAATTGACCCAGGTACTGTTTTCAATGGATGAATGCAAGAATGAGAGTGTTTCCGCAAGGAATGTTGCGGAATTATCGACTGTGAGTGTTAGTGAACATGTAGATAGTGGTGATAGTGAGAAAACCACTACAGCAACGACTCCAGTTATTGTTGGCTCTGTTGCCAGTGAGGAGGGTCAGGGTAAGATTGAGTGTTCTTCTGGTGAGGATGTGATGGCAAAGGAAGTAGGTTCTTGTAATGGAGATGAAGTAATGGTTGAGAGGTCTTCCAATGAGGGTGTTGATGGTGGGTGCACACGTGACTTGTGTGATGGAGGTGGTGGGGAAGCAAGGAAGGAAACTGCTGGTGGTTGTGGTTGTGCCGAGGGAGATGCAACACATTCAGATGGTGGTGGTGTAGCTGGTCAATCAGGGACACATGAGGATAGGGATTCTGGTGTTGATCCATCAAACTCAGGATTTGAGTCTTCTCGGTCTGCAGAATCTGAAGAAGGGAAACCAGTTGAGAGTGGGGAGAAGGGGAGGGAAGTCAGTGGAAACAGCAGCAAGGCTTCACCTGAAGTTCAGGAGATGAGGGTTGAGAGTGAGGTTGGACAGTCTTCTAAGGTAGCAGAATCTGAAGGAGAAGGTAAAGCAGTAGGGGGTGGAGAGGAAGATATGGAGGTCGGTGGAAATGGTGATAAGACTTCATCTGAAGTTGGGGTTGCAGATGCTGACGCTCATGTTCAGAGTGTGGAAAATGCAAGTGGTATTGATGGGGAAACCCAAGTTGTGGTGGAAGAAGTAGCATATGTTACACCGGAGGAGAGTTTGAAAAGGGAATTGGCGGAGGAAGGTGTTGAGGGAGAAAAGATTGATGCAAGCCAGAAGGTGACTTCTCAAGAAATTGGGCTGTCAGAGAATGAATCTCAGGATCAAAGAGCTGAAAATGGTGCGGGATGTCCTTCTGTGGTAGTAGGTGCTTCAGTTGGTGAAACCCAAGTTGTAGAGAAATCTGAATTGGTTGAGGAGGCTGCTGGGAAGGCTGAGGATAAAGATGACAATGTGAACGATGCATTTCAAGATTCAGAGACATTAGAGGTGGGTGTTTTGCATGACAGAGTGTGGAATTCTGGAACTGAAACTGCAGTGTTGGCTTCTCCATCAACCGTGGAAGATACAAGTGTAGAGACCGAAGTTATTGAGGAAGTTGCTGTGCTGCCAAATAATGAAGGTTTAGATCCAAAGGTTGAAGCAAGAAGGAGTGACGCTCTGGAAAGAGCACTTGCTGGTAATTCGGAGGGGCTTATATCAACTTCTGAAGGATCATCAGTTTTACCAGAAAAAGACGGCCTTGCCAACCCAGACTCCAAATTGTTGGATAAACAAACTCCAGTTGCTGATGAAGGGAGGGTTGCATCAACTGACTACGAAAACATCACATGTCCCAACACCGAAGGTATGGACACTGATGGTTTTAGTGAAAGTTTTTATTTTTCAGTGGAAGAACTGCAGGGAAAATCCGAGACAGCTAATGGGAGCACTGAAAATGGCTATAATGTATGTGCAGATTCAGAGTCTTCGTATCAGCCAGCTCAAGTAGTTGTAGGAGCTGGAGTTGTAGCTAAGGAAAACATTGTGCTTCTTAATCCTGTAAAGAGTAAAAAAGTGATAACTGAATGCTTAGTTGATGATGCTGAAGAAGCTGGTCTACATAAAGAGCAAGTGATAACAGTTTCGCAACAGCAGAAAGCTGATATTGTTAGTGGAAGCACTGAAACAAGGACTAAGACAGAATGTGGAGGGATGGAAATTGATGTCGAGGTGGCTTTAACAAACAATGTTGAGGTTTTGATCTCACACGCTGATGTTCCAGTTCCTTCTTTAAAAGATCAACAGTTGAAGGCTGAGGAAGGCTCAGGGAAAAGTGCATCTTGTCATCCTGCTCATGCTCATGCTTATTCATTCGAAGAGCAACTGATGGAAGGTCAAGAACAGGCTACTTATGTCGAAGAGCTTGAAGGGGAGAAGAAAAGGGTAGAAGAACAGAGCTCACAGGTTGAAACAGTATCTGGGATCACAGAGTTTGATACTCGGCTCATGGATGGAGGAGAAAATGTCATAGCAAGCAATGAGGAAGCTTTGAATCCCAAAACTGAACTCAAGGAGCTTGCTGAAAACGATCAGCAATTAAAGTTTGCAGAAGGTTTGGATGAGGGTGCATCTCATGGTCATTTTGAGATGGATTCGCATGTGGGGCAAGAAATGACAATTGAAGAAAATTTTCTTGATTCTGAACAGGTTGATTTACTAGAAGGGAAAGAAATGGAAGTTGAAGAACAGGATACTGACAATGAACAACTGAACAGCATCGAGGAGAAATCTGCTAAATTGACAGCTTCAAAGCCTGGAAGCTCAGAGAAAGCAGATCAGGCTTGTTATCTACTGCCACCAGATAATGAAGGCGAGCTTTCTGTATCAGATTTGGTCTGGGGTAAAGTAAGGAGCCATCCTTGGTGGCCTGGCCAGATATTTGATCCATCGGATGCCTCCGAGAAAGCAATGAAGTATAATAAGAAGGACTGCTATTTAGTAGCATACTTTGGAGACCGAACATTTGCATGGAATGAAGCATCTTTGCTAAAACCTTTCAGGTCACACTTTTCTCAGGTTGAGAAGCAGAGCAATTCTGAAGTATTCCAGAATGCTGTTGATTGTGCTTTGGAAGAAGTTTCAAGACGAGTGGAGCTGGGTCTGGCTTGCTCATGTGTGCCGAAGGATGCTTATGATGAAATCAAATTTCAGGTTCTTGAAAGTGCTGGAATCCGGCCAGAGGCAAGCACACGAGATGGTGTTGACAAAGATACAAGTGCTGATTTGTTTCAACCAGATAAATTAGTGGGTTATATGAAAGCATTAGCGCAGACTCCAGGCGACGGGGCTAATCGATTGGAGCTTGTGATTGCAAAGTCTCAGTTGCTGGCCTTCTATCGTTTGAAAGGTTACTCTGAACTGCCTGAATATCATTTTTATGGAGGGTTGTTGGAAAAGTCAGATACTTTAAGATTTGAGGATGAAGTGATTGATCATGCATCGGCTGTTTATGAGGATCATGGGCAAATTTCATCTGGTGAGGAGATTTTGCAAACACAAAGAGGCTCTTCTCGCAAATGCAAACATAATTTGAAGGATTGTATCAGTCCTAGGAAAAAAGAGAGAAACTTGTCTGATTTGATGGGTGACTCGTGGGATTCTTTGGATGATGAAATTGGGTCTGATGGCAAAGCAAACAATAAATTAGTTTCTCCATCTTCTGGCAAGAAAAGAAAAGGCACCGATACCTTTGCTGATGATGCATCTATGACAGAAGGGAGGAAGACCATATCTTTTGCAAAAGTGTCTTCGACCGCAACTCTTCCCAAGCCTTCCTTCAAGATTGGCGAATGCATTCAAAGAGTTGCTAGCAAAATGACCGGGTCTCCTTCTATCCTGAAGTGTAATAGCCAGAAGGTAGAAGGAAGCATTGATGGCCTCACTGGGGATGGATCTGATGATACTTCATCAGTGCATCCTGAGGATGCTGAGATAAAGAAAATGATTGTTCCAACAGAATACTCGTCACTTGATGAATTGCTATCACAGCTTCACTTGACAGCACAAGATCCCTCGAAAGGCTATGGTTTCTTGAACATCATCATTAGCTTCTTCTCTGATTTCAGGAAATCGGTGGTTATGGACCAGCATGATGAAGTAGGTGGTAAGAGGAAAACTTCCCATTCTTCTGTTGGTTTTCCAGAAACATTTGAATTCGAGGATATGAATGACACATATTGGACAGACCGTGTTATTCAAAACGGTTCTGAAGAGCAACCACCACGTAAAAGTAGGAAAAGGGATAATCTTTTTGTGCCTGTTGTTCTGGATAAACCCAGCGGTAGGTCAAACTCTAGGAAACGCTATTCTGATAGCAGTTATGATGTATCATCCCAGAAACCAGTTGGTTATGTGGATGAGAAGGCCCCGGCAGAGCTTGTAATGCATTTCCCTGTGGTGGATTCAGTTCCTTCAGAAATAAGCCTAAATAAGATGTTCAGGCGCTTCGGACCACTAAAAGAATCGGAGACAGAAGTTGATAGGGATACTAATCGTGCCAGAGTAATTTTCAAGAGATGTTCAGATGCAGAAGCTGCTTATGGGAGTGCTCCAAAGTTCAACATTTTTGGTCCAATTCTTGTGAATTACCAGCTCAACTACACTATATCTGTTCCATTTAAAACTCCACCACCAATCCTAGATGAGGAAGATGTAACTCTTTTTCTTCAATATTGAAGTCAATCTGGTTTGATACCCAGGTAAATATTCGCAGCTGGATGGTAATTTCCTACTGTATTAGGAATGCCTTTTCCATACGGTTTATTGGTAGAGCTTAATTTACTTAGAACCGTTTAGCTAATTTAGGACAAATAATGACTTAATCATGATTCACAATTATTTTGAGATAAATTCATATGTTCGTAGTATATATATATATATAAAGAAAGTACCATTTATATCTAAACATCTCATTAGAGTAAAATATCCTTATTTTTTCCCCTCAAATTTCCTTATTATTATCTAATTCCAAATAGAGATAGAATTCATAGCAGGGCAAACCTCTTTTTTATCCAGATGTATTACCTGGCTTTCCCAACAAAAATAGGAGGCATAGATCAAATTTCCTAATTATTCTACAGTATTACTTTACTACTCCTTCTGTTTTGATGCTGGTACATCTTCTATTATTGCCTGCTATTGTGGTTTTTTTTTTTTTCCGACTTAACCGTTTTCCTAGTATTTGAAACCAAGTAACTCCATGCTATTTCTTAGTAGAAAAAGAGCTCACAGGTATTTCCATACATGCCCTCCTTTATTTTACAAAACAGCAATATTTCAACAAATCATTTGGTGTACAAATGTATTTTTTAAATAATAAATTAATTTCCAATTAGCCAAATTATACACTGCCAAAATTACTGGTATTATCGAATATTTGAATTTGTTCAAGAGCGGAGGGTGCCTGGAAACCAAGAACTTTTGCGGGGGGTGGGCGGGGGCGGTAGACATCTTGATTTCTGGGATTGGCAAGTCTCGGGAGTCTGGACCTCTTGGATGGAATGATGCATTTGTGCTTGAGCGTGCATGCCTTTCATTGGTTGATATGCTCTCTTAATGAAGTTGTTAATACTGATCTCCTGCCAAGAATTTGAAATGTCCTGAAAGTTCTCCTTTTCAAAAAATTAGAAACGTTTTGAGGAAACGTAAGTACTTCAACACTGTGGAGATTAACTAGTCTGTCACTGCTGTAGGATGCCGTAACAGGATTTGTATTGCTCCTCCTCACTTGTTTGGCTTCCTTAGTTATCTGAAGTGCTGCTTTTATATACTATTCAATTTTTATGATAGGAGATGGCTGGTGTTGAAAATACATGCAGACACAACATAGCTGCTGGTTATGTCTGGCCTATACTTCACCAATGAGTTCGCTGGAAAAGTTACGAGGCTAACAAGTTATCCGTGCTGCTGATGTTTGGCATATATTCAGCAGACGGGTTTGCTGATGAAGATAACCAGACTAATAATAAAGTATTTTGCTGTATCATCCACTTGAGGTTCACTTGACTGTCCTGAGCACGGTGGCAGAAGGTTGCCTTGTTAAAAAATCTCAATAGCTTCAGCTTATGCATTTTAAAGCAGCTTGTTAGCGGATCGTAGGTAACTTTCTTGATGAGTAGGAGATTCGATCATGGAATCATGCTGCATGTTCTTCGTTTATGGTTGGTCGGTCCGCATGTCAGGTAGAACGACTTTCCTTCAATATGAAACTGCGAGAAAAGGAGAACACTTTTGTTCATAAGCTGAACGCGCTGGCTGTTTAGAATGCTATATTTGGCAGGTAGCCGAGTCCATCGCCTTTTTCCAGTGCTCGCCTGAAAGAAGCGTTGGCCTTGTTCTTTGTTTGATCATTCGGCATGTGTAGCACAAAGTTCAGTAAAAGATCAATTCTCTCTCTCTCTCTCTCTCTCTCTGTCTGTCTGTCTATTTGGCTAGTTCAAAAGTCTCTCACAAGAATTGATATGTATCATGATCAAGGTAATTACAAGAACCATCAAGGAATGAGACCTTGGAGTAAATTGATTATCATATCGGCTGCAACAAATCGTTCGCAATTTTGACAGGTATCATGCCGCTTTATACAATGGGGCGATGATGAGGTCACTAAAGCTGCTGAGATGCACCAGTAAGACACGGTAGCCTCTAAGCCAATTGTTTTATAAAGGGGGTTTGTATAACTGCGAGAGAGGTAGAACACTTTCAATCAAAAGCTGAACTTGTTTCCAGGACACCAGTTAGAAATTGTTGTCGTTTTTACTGTTGGATTTTTACTGATATGTAAGGGTGTGAAGAATTTTAATTAAATCTTTAATAAACACAATGAAAAAGCCTTCTTTTATATATATATATATATATAAAATCAATATTCTTGTAAAGAGGCCATAAGAAAATGACAGTTCTCGGTGTAAAAAACATATAAAAGGACTGGTCAAAATTAAAAAAAGAACAAAAAACAATCTTTCACAAACAATATACAGAGCTACTAGGACAAGATCTACATTACCCGATAATAGAACAAAAAAGTCAGAGAAGAGAGGCACCAAAGCTGAGAATCTATGTGCATGAAATGGAAATTGTTTGCCAGCAGTTTCAAAATCTTGTACAGATGCATAACAACTAAATGGAAAAAACACAGAATAAAAAAAATAAGGTGTCTAAATACAAAAAATAAAATTAAATTAAAAGCATGCAGACCATGTAGCTAATAAGTTGCTGAAAACCAATAATTGAAAAACCTGGTGCTAAAAAATCACTGCATCAAAATGGGATTGTCATATTTTTAGAAAATTTCAGCAGCGGTGTGTCTAGGGCGGTGCTCCGTCCAGCAGATTTTCCAACTGCGGCTGGACACGAGTTTTATTATGGGGTCCACATGCTTAAGCTCAGGTTCATTTAAGCCACCAAACAATGGCACAACTGTGTTTAGGAGAAAAAACAAAAGCCACCGCACTTCCAAACACCTGCGTTTAAGGTTGGTTTG